TATATTTTTACTCAACAATTTAAATTTTTGAAATAATTAATTTGTAAAATGGTATGAGAACTAGGGTGATTAAGTAATTAAGAGTTTGATCCTTATTTAATATAAAAAAATAATCCCATAGGAAGTAAATTACCTTTTGATGTGGATGGATCAACTCAACCCAAACATTTTAGTTAGTAGGTAGTGAGATGATTTTGGGTATTTAATATGTTTGGCTGTCTTTTGAAACTAGTGAACCAAAACCAGTTTTGGCCATATACTCCTTTTGAGCAGAAGTGACATGGACTTGCTTCTATGTTAAGGGTTGAGAGTTAATATGTTATTAAATTTAGATTGATGTTTGGCTCGCTTGGGTATTAGGTCAATGAATTATTGATTTAATTAGTAGGTTATTTGTTTAATCAGCTAAATCAAATTTATATAAAATTATGTAAAAAATATAATAATAGACATTTTTTTTTTTTTTGAGTAAACCCAAGGGTATCCCTCCCCACATATATAGGATAGGATTAACCTCCTTTCGCGGATTGAGAGGGCAAGGATTTCTCAGCTACCTACAAAGTGTGTTTACCAAGAGTCGAACTCAAGCTCTTTAGACTCACAGCCCGAAATCCTTGGACTCAGCACCAAACCAACTTGGCCACACCTTACAGGTCAATAATAGACACTTTTTAATAACAAAATTATTGTAATCAATTGCTAGCCACCATTAACGGAACCAGGGTTTGATACCCTAAAATATGCAAGTCTTTTAACATTTTAGGAAAATTTCAAAAATTGATAATGGTTTAATACCAGTTGTCCTTCTCTTTTATGTCTTGTCTTTTTTCACTCTAGATTTTCACTCTCTTTTTTGGTTGATTTTCACATTAATTATGTTTGAAAATTTTATTATTATAAATATTATTTCTTATTTGCACATGCTATTTGATGATTAATGAACTCATGATACATGATAGTTGTGTTCGTTTTATGTATTTTAATATTTATTACATAAATATTGAATCGAAATTTGATTTCAAAAATTAAATTGAAATTATTTTAATATTTTATTAATAAAAGTAAAATATAATATCATTTTTACACATAAAAGTTTTATATCAATATTGTCTTTTTTTTTTGTATAAGATATATCAATATTGTCTAAATAAATCATTTCTACCAAAATAACTTTTCACGTAAAAGTTCCCTAACACAAATCACAGTAATACAAATTCCCTTTTGAAGAGAATTAAGTTTGCAAAATCATCTTCATCCAAAATCAAATTTGTTAAATTTAATCCAAACACGCATTTAGTGCATGATTATAGAAGTTATGATATCAAGTCTAGAACTAAATCAGCTCTACAAGTTTAAACTTTTAGGATACAAAGCAATGTTATCAAAAACCAAATCGCTAATTGATCTGATCGGGGTACTGAGTCAATAGTTCAACTAGTGAATTACTGGTTGAATTGCATGACCCGGATATATGTATATAAATTTATATTTATGTTTGATTATATAATAAATATTTTAAATGGTGCAATTTAAATAAGACTTTAATAGCTCTTCTGTTGCTATAGATCAAAAAATTTGCAGCAACACTTATTTTCACCGGGATACTGTTTCGTATCCTGAATTTTTTTTTTATTCCAAGATACGGCTCCGTATACTAATGTTAATAGGTTTGCTGCAATTTTTCTCATCTGCAGCGACAGTAGAAATGAGGAACCCTTTAAATAACAACCCAATGTAGTCTAGTTGTAAGTACTTTGATATATATCCCTATGATAATCCCCATTGGTCGCAACTTTTGAAATAATTCTATTAACTTATTACTTATATAATAAACATATTAAATGGTGCAAATTATTCAATAAGTGATGATAACCTAGTGGTTGGTGGTGGTGTCCCTCACTCCAATGAGCTTGGTTTGATTCCCAACTATCAAAATTGGAATATTTTGAACACCAAATGTTCGGTTTAAGGGAAAAAAATATTTTTATATCCATGAAAATCTCATAGACATGGTGATCAAATTCCGAAAAATTTGTTATTCTTTTATGGAAGTTAATGCCTTTTGCAATAGATAATGGCCCTTTGGAGGGTATAAATGGGCTGGGCTAGGTTATGTTTTGGCTTAAATAGACCAGACCTGTATAATAAGCATTGGAAATAGCCTGGCCTATTAGCCTGTATAGGTCTTAAATTACAAGTCTGACCTGACTTATATTTAATAAATAAAAGTCTTGACCTAGGTCTGTTAGCCTGTTTAAGCCTATTAAACATTCAACAATTAAAAGAATAACTAAAATAATATATTTTTATTATTCAAAATTATTAAAATAATAATTTTATTTATTATATTTTAAATAAATAGTATGATATAGGTCAGACGTGTATAAAAAAAACTTATGGCCTATTTTCTAAATAGGTATTTTTAAAAGCCTATGCCTATTCTATTTTACTATTTATAATAGGCCAAGTCTGACCTAATATAAACTAGGCCGTAGGTCCATGTAGGCCGATCTAATCCATTTCCACCCGTAACCCTTTGTACTCGTAGTCCCACTTATCCATTGCGTCAGCATGCCTAGTCCCACGTTATTATTTAAGATAACTTTTGTCCTATTATATGAGAAAGTAAAACTTTTTTTATTGCATACAGAATCAAGTTCTCTCATTCAGTATTAATTTGTGAAAAATGTAACACTGACTGATGCTTCTGTTAAGCCTTTGATTTTTTAAATGAAATCCCCCACTTATATCTTGCACCTATAGCTCAATCATCTTCAACTCAAAAATGCCCTCAAAAAAGCCAATAGAAGTGCAAATATCATTAGTTAGAAGGGGGTAATTCAATTGAACAAGAACCCAAAATCCATTGATAAACGCCCATTTTGTGTTTTGGGCTCAAACTAAGTTCGAGTCTTAAAGGCAGGGGTGTTAACGGACCGAGTCGAGCCGAACTTCGATCTTAAAAGGTTAAGTTTATGTTTAAATGTGTCGGCCTGATGAACCCTGTTATCTGTTATAAATATAACTATCGGCCTGTGACCTGACTTATTTACAAAATATAAAAGCCTTGTTTAACCTGTTAGCCTGTTTAAAAAAAGAGAAAAGTTCACTAATGGCCCTGTGGTTTGTTACAGAATCACTTATGACCATGTGGTTTTTTCGATCACATATGCTCCTATGCTTTGTAAAAAATAAAAAACCACATGCGCATATGTGATAAAAAAACATACCCTTTTGCAAACAACAGGGGCATAAGTGATTCTGAAACAAACCACAGGGGCATTGGTAAACTTTTCCCTTAAAAAAATAAGACAACAAAAATTTATCCAAACAGAATATACAATCAACAAAACTAGTAATTCCATGAATATTCATAAATTCAATTTATATCCAAACAACATAATATAAAACAAAATCATTCAAAAAGTCTTTTTAACCAATAAAATGGGGTGAAATGGATTGAGGAGAAAGAGAGAGTTATTACAAGTAGCATAAAAAATATAAAATATAAATAAAAAATAATATACTAGGCCAGCCTGAGAGGCTTTAAGGCCGAGCTTTAAAATTGGAGCCTGAGTCCTTTTTATTAAACGAGCTTTTATACAAGTCTAAGTTTGGTGCCAACAACCAATTTTAGACATGTAAGCTGAGACTTTCACTAGCCGAGCCAAATGCCCCTGAAAGGCCCTTAGTTTGTTTAGCACCCCTACTCATGGAAAACACAAATTTGAAGAAATTTATTTTACATATTTTCGGTCTTTATTACTCAAAATCTACATTAACTCTATAATGTAATTTTTAAATAAATTTAAGGGTCAACTTCAAATACACACTATAATTTAGACTAAATTGCTTATCTAAACATTTTTTTACCATTACTTTTTTTAAATATAAGTTGATCTGAACGTCTATTTTGCACATTTGGACACTAGACAAAGTATCAAGCCCTCTCACTCCTTAACTTTGCCTATTTTCAAATACCAAATTGCAGATTGTGTGACGTTAAAGTTTGAAATGGTTAAAAAATGGGGGGAAATAAGTTAAATTTATTCTTAGTTACACATCAAAATTTAGAATGATATGAAAAAAATAAAAATCACATAAAAGAAAGAGGAAGAGATTATAAGTAAAACCTATTTTTCGTTATCATCTCTTGCAATTACTTTTGTCTTATTAGATCAAAATCAAATCAACGATTATAAATAAGAGTCGTTGATTTGATGTTGATCCAATAACAATACAAGCGGTTGTAAAAATTATAAATATAATCTTCTAAAAGAAAAATTGCAAAAGAAAATTAGGGTTAAGTTTGCACTAAATTTAATGAGATAGCTTATACTTATATTTAATGTCATTTTAAATATAACTATTGATTTAATTTTGTTCTTATAAGAGAAAAAAGGTTATCTCTCCCAAATTTAATATATGTAGTTGGAAAAAATATATGCACAAAATAGAAATGAAAATTCTCACTCCACTCAGGTGACTAATTCTCTATGAAGCACCGACACTTCAAAAATCTTGACGTATCATGTCCAACACTCTCTGATACTCCCCGACATTCCAACATGCGTTATAGAAATTCAAAAAAAGTTTAAAAGTTGTGTTGCGTTTTTAGTTTCAACTATTAGATTCGTTGGATTACATTACCATTTTATTGAGTCTTAATATAAATATTTGGGATATCATATGTTTCTTTGTAAAATTGATGAATACTATAAGTTTAGTTTTATTTTTTGTTAAATTATTGAATATTAAATATAATATACACTTCATAAATTAAAAATATTATTTAATATTAAAACGTGTCCTAATGTATCAAAATTTAACATTTTTTAAAATTAATATGTCAGAATATCGTGTCGTATCGTATCCCGTGTCTCGGTATCTGTGTAGTTCGTCATAGTTGAATTAGATTTGCAATAAATTTCATTAAAGTCTTGTTTAGAGACTAATTTGTGTTTATATGACATTAATAAAGGATGTGATCCATAATATACATAATATTATCACATCAATCGAAAGGGAAGGTTCTTCTACGCGTAGCAGAGAAGAGATTTTGAAGCGATTGATCGTTCTGAATTCGAATCTATTCGGAAAATGGAGAAGGTGAAGAATATTCTGAAGCCAAAGCCAAATCCACAGCAAGAGTTGAGAGATTGGCAGCGTAGGCTTCGCCAAGAGTGTCGGAACATCGAGCGCCAAATCCGCGGTATTTTCAAAACCCTAATTTCTTCTTCTTTCTTCATCATCTTTCATGATCATGGCTGATTTGTGTTTTTTTTTTTTTTGGTTTTCAGATATACAGAGAGAAGAAAAAAATGTACAGAAGGCGATACGTGAAGCAGCCAAGAGGAACGACATGGGCTCTGCAAAGGTGTTTCTCTTTCTATGCTGTTGATTTTGTTTTTTTTTTTTTTTTTTGATAACATGTTGATTTTGTTTTAGGGGTAAAGAAAATGTGTGTGAATCCTCATCACCATTAAAGAGGAGAAAGACTAATGAAAGCATTTATTCCAATCATTGGACGCAGAACTGGTTTTTTATGTGGCTAAAAAGCTTCTATCAACTATGGTGGACTTGTTAGTTAGGACTTAGGACTGGTCACAATATTCAATAAACTAGCTATGAACCTATTTTTGGTTTTTGCTTGTGTATGTATCACCTCCAAAGTGTTATTGGTTTTGTTTTCTATTCTGATTTGAGATTTTGAATGCTCGATATAAAATATCTATCTAGCTAGCTATCTGAATTCTGAAGTTTTTTTTTTTTTTTTCTTCTCCTTCTTGTGATATCTGTGTAATTTGCAGGCACTAGCTATGGAACTTGTGAGATCTAGGAAAACAGTGAACCGTCTATATGAAAATAAGGCACAATTGAATTCAATATCAATGCACCTTGGAGAGAGTGTTGGTAGGTTTGTACATGTTTTATCCGCCTTAACTTTCTTTTGTCATATAAACATCAAAACCTCTGTCTAATTAGTTACTTGTGCTTGAATCTTGATACCAGTTGTATGATGCATGACTGAAAAACTTTAGTTTTAGTTGTTTTTGATCCATTTGGTTGAGTGATTTGGCACACGTAAATTTGTCAGGAATGTTGACTTTATTGTTGTGCGGAAAAAGGGGGAAGTTAATTGAGTGTGATGTTAATCCGGTGTGCATTAACATGATGAGTTTTTAATGCCTTTGAATGTCAGGTGTTTGATGTTAACTCAGGCTTTTGTTAGAGTTTATGTGATGTAGGAGGCAAGCATCAAAAGCATTGTGAAAGAGCCGTTAGAATATAAGCAGCATCTCATTTTACAAATAGCTGGCCATTTGAACTTGACTGCCAAGACACAAATCTTCTAGTGTTTAATTACCTTAAATTTATCTCAAATAATTAAATAAAATTCCTAATAGTCATTCATGAGAAGATACGATAAAGCATGTAATTTGTGATGATTATGCATATAATGGTATCAATTATATATTAAGTATGCTTTGGCTAGAGGCTACCCCTCTTAATTCTTCAGTATACATATACTATTCTCACTGCAACTGTTTTTATTGAATAATTAAGTGTAGTAATTAGATTAGCCATACCTTGTTTTATATGTGGAATCTTTTTCAATGAGTCAACTTGACGTATTTGAGTTATTAGGATTTTTTTTTTCTTTTGAAGTTCATGATTCCGGTTGCTTTTGCAGCAATTGCTCGTACTGTAGGACATTTATCTAAAAGTGCCGAGGTTATGAAGCTTGTCAATAACCTCATGAAGGCTCCTGAAATGGCTGTGACAATGCAACAGTTCAGCAATGAAATGACTAAGGTATGCTTACGATGCCTTTAAGGCTAGATTATGCAAGACCTCTTTAACTTAGCCTGATGTGGAACTTACCTCCTTATACTTCCAAATGAAGCAAGCGATCAATCTCCTAATATTATGGCTGTGTAAATTATGCATTCTGTTACTCTTCCGTTGTTTACAGAGTTGTGTTGTGGATGTTACATACAAATTATGTTTATATTTGACTAAATCTACTAAAGAAAATTCTAAAAAAAGAAGGAAAATGTCTTTTATTTTCTCTTTCTTCCTATTTTCTGAGATAGAGGGAGCTCTATGGAGGTGGGGGGAGGGTTTTGTTTTTCAATATCAGGTTTATTTTAAACATCATGTGCTTATCATATGCACACCAATGTTAACTATTAAAACAGAATAGTAAATTTACATAATCTTACAAATTTAGGGGCTTGATTGCCCAAGGTTTTACATTGTTTTACTGCAGCCATGAATTTGAATTGAATATACTTATATCTAATTTCCCCTCATTTTCAAGTTATTGCAATTAAGAATTGTCAATTTTGTTGGTAAAGTCACCATACCTTTAAAACTTTTGATTCTGAAGTGATCACTCCTCTGCTAGCAAATTACCTTGTGGAAACTTTTGGACTGCCCAAGTACATATGCACTTATACTGAAATTTAAATAGCTTAAATTCATACCTGGAAATGTGACAAAGATAGAAGGCTAAGAACATGATTATAAAAAAGAAGATCCGAGGCCTATGTTTTAATATTTTTGAGACCACATTTTGTAAAAATGAGCTGGCATTATTCATTAATAATGCCTTTTGAAGGATGAAGTCCCGAGCTTTTACTTTAAACATCTTTCAATGCATACAGAGGAACCATAATTTGTAAAGAGAACATAAAATTGATACCAACTCATAAAAGCATATGACTTCAGACAATATTAATGATGCCAAATATTGTCACTGTTTTTTTCATTATAAATACCATAATATAATGACAATAAACTGAATCATTGTCTGTCAGTTTTGGTGACCTTAATTTTCGACTTACATTGTTTGTTTCTACTAATTTTGATCAAATGAGAGCATTGCATGAGTTCAAAACTTGAACTATGCATTGTAATATTTGGACTTTGAGGGTGTGTTTATCCTATTTATATTTTCGTATTTCTTTTTCAGGCAGGAGTGATTGAGGAAGTAGTAAATGACGCTCTTGACACTGCACTAGATTCTGAGGACATAGAAGATGAGATAGAAGAAGAAGTTGATAAGGTCTTAACTGCAATAGCTGGTGAGACAGCCTCACAGCTTCCAGAAGCTGTCAGAAAAGAAAGGGTGAAGCAACCTGCACAAAGTGTCGGATCCACAGAGGAGGTATTTGTAATTCATTTCCCTTGTAATAGGGCTCTTTTCTGACTCAGTTAAATTAAATACGGATTATTTAATTTTTTGTAGGAAGAGGCTATAGCAGAGGGAGTTGATGATGAGGAAGAAATGGAAGAAATAAGGGCCCGACTTGCTAAAGTTAGGTCATAAACACGGTTTTAGACTTTAGTCTTAACAGCCTCTATCTTGTGCCCTGGTGTATTGGTAGAGAGAGATATTGACAGGTTGGTATTCTATTTGTCGTATTTTTGTTTCTAATGGCAACCAAAATTACTACCGGGAAAGAGAATAGTGGGATGGGCAGCATCGTATGTAAATTACACTGAAGATCTGGAAGTAGATTTTCAAAGTCTATATATATGATTAGGCGCTGAAGTTACTTCTGTATTTCATGCATGGTTGGGATTTGTTGAGTGTTCCAGAATTGGATAAAGCAAACATGAGATTATTCCTTTTATCCATCTGGATGCATGGGATATTCAATTATTTAAATTAATGACCAACTTATGGAACAGTGGTAAAGTTGTTCTTCCATGACTAAAAGGTCATGGGTTCGAATCTAAGAAACAGTTTCTTTTTGCAATTATGTAAAGATAAGGCTACATACAAGGGATTACCTTCACTCCACACTTGCTAGTCGGGTTTGACGGAAACTGATTTTTTTTTTTTAATCATCAACTTGTGGAACATATGCTTCTAGGATTCTTGAAACTCAGAACAAGCATAAAAGTCTAGCATGTTTAGCAAAATGAAAAATTCAATGCTTTTACTCTTTTCAATTGTGCAATATCGAGATCCGAGATTAAAATAAGAAGATTCTCTGAATAATGTATACCTCATAAGAAAAAGGAAATGTCATAAAAAGGTGGTGAGCTAGGGTAGGGACGGTTCTCTTGTGCATTATTTTATTTCAGTTGGTATCTCGGAGTAGGAAGAGAAAAGCACTGTTTCGAAAGTAGCAAACGTTTTTCTTTCTTTCTTTAACAAAAAGTTTCGGGCACATATTGGTAATTTGAGAAAAAATCTAATATACTACCGTAGTATTTATATAAATTATATTCCACCAATAGCAATATAACACCTTAATTGACATGTTTTTTAAAGAGAAAAAAAATAATTTTAATAAATATTATATCTATGTATTTTTGAAAATATATAATTTGTAATTTTATTACACAAGATTTAATAGGGTAGGTCTCCCTGTGTATTTTGATTCTAAAGATTCGATCGTCTTGTACTTGTACGCTACTCATAATTAACGCCTGGAACGGAAAACCATGTCATCAATAAAAAAAGTGGGGTTTGTGGTTTATGGGTTTTATAATTCTCATTTAACATGAGAATTCAAATTTTTCTACACACCCTTCGATTTTCGTGCTGACATGGGTCTTACATATAATTTTTTCTAACACATGGGTCCTACATGTTTTTTATCTCTACAACATGAGAATTGAATTCTCATTTAACATAAGAAAATCAAACCCCGTGGTTTATACATCCAAACAGTTGGGCACACTCTTCGTTCTTGTTCATTCAGATTTAGTCAAAATTGCTTGTGCATATGTTTAAGGCACCACTATTATATCTTACACGCAACACTTTCTAAGCTCCTTTACTAGCTTCACAAATATAGAACATATGAAATGGTTTAAACGAAATAAAAATAATAATTGCATCTTTATAAGAATTGTGGATATTGATATCAAATGCTTCTGTATTTAAGATTATATTTTTATCTAAATGACATTTCTTGACATAATTATATGACAAACGACGCACGAGATATTTTATTTTTATTTTTTTCTTTGTAACGAAGCCTTGGAATAAAAGTTGTTTTAAGAAACATTGTTTGTTATTTTCTAGCCCAAAAAAAAAATATCAACGAATTTAATAGTTGTTTATTCAAATGAAAAGCGCACCACAACAAACAAAGCCAGGGATAGGTTTTATCATTTATCAACATATTTCAATAATCATAAATATGACAGAACCCATTTCATTATTTTTCTGTAATTCATCAAACAATACGAAGAAAGTACGGGGAGAAAACCACCCTTGCAAGACATGCTAATTGCTAATTGGGTCATCCGTCCCTTGTAACGAAATAGCCTATTTATTAATGGGAAATGTTTTTGTTATGTAACATAACATAAAAACAAACTTTCTACTCTCACAAAAGGAAGGGAGAAGAGACAGAATAGGAAAAAGAGAAAAAATTTAAAGTGGGTCCCATATAAAATTTGTGTGTGTAGGAAGATAATTTTATGTTATGTAACATAATAAAAATAAAGCCCTTTATTAATTGGATAAAAAATTATGTGTTCATGAAAAAAATACCTATTTACTTTAAGAGTAAGTTGAGCATACCTACTTTATTAGATGATTTTTTGATAAGTATTAAAATTATTGTTGTTAAAATTTCGATTTATCACTATGATTTTATGTTTTTAAGATTTTTTTTCATCAAAATAATTTTATTAATATTCCAAACGCTTTTACATTTTTACGATTTTTTATAATATTTTTTACATTATGATTTTACGTTATATGATTTTTTAATCCCCATTCAATTTTACTTATCTCGATTTTAACAACACTTAAAATGTATCATTAAATTAAAAGTTTAAATGAGCACAATCATTAGTAGAATTGATATCAGTGTAAAAAAGTACCAATTATTATATCCATAGAAAACTTATAAAATAGAATCTTTTACAATCCCGATGCTGAATGCTTTTTTAAGTGGAAGATAAACATCATTTATTTTTTAAAGAACGGAAATCCATCAGAAATAATGAAAAAGTCATTTCTTTTTTCATACAACGATCAAAATCATGTACTTGCCTCCACAAAGTAATAAAATCAGACCATTATTATAGGATCTGAATTTTCTAAAGCCATATGGATTGTACAATTTAAAAAATCAAATCATATTTTCTTTTTTCTTCTCTTCACATGACTTCATATGGGATTCACATATTTTTATGTGTGTATGAAAGATAAAATTATCTTCTACAACATAAAAAACATTGATCTCACTAAAATTTTGTCAAAAGAAAAACATAAGTAGTTATGTGAAGTTACTTGCTTGTAGGCTTATTTTAAAATAGCAAATTGTTTTACCCAAAAAAAAATAAAAAAAATAGCAAACTGTAAAGTGGTGGGAACCGTTAACCCTCTGATACTCAACCTCTTCATTAGACTTGGAAGCCAAAGCAATTTGCATAGATAGCGAGCACTATAAATTCATAGCCATTGCAACGTTTTTTCAACAAAGGCAGAAAAAAAAAACATGGCATCATTGTTAAGACTCCTCAAAATGTCTCTGTCTTTTATGTTGCTCTTGCTCTTCTTCTTCATTTCACCTTCTTTCTCCTCTCCAGGTTTCACCCCAAAACTAGTAGCAGAAAAGCTCATAAGAGGGCTTAACCTATTCCCAAAAGATTCCATTAACACACTAGTGAATGAACCTCATTTGGTCCCTGGAAAGATTGTGGAGAAGAAGTTCATTTTCCCTGGTCTTTATTCTTCTGGGCCTTCTGTTGAAGAACTTGGTCACCATGCAGGGTATTATCCCCTTCCTCGTTCCAAAGCTGCAAGGTAAAGATGTAAAGTCCAGCATGCATTTTTTTGGTTTATCTTCTTGTTGTTGGTTTTTTTTTTCATTTTCTTAGCTAGCTTAATTTTCCTCCTATTCAAGAATGATTGTTCATCAACTCAGAAAGATAGTTCTGGATACAGTTCTTTTATGTTGTATTAAGGGGTTATTTAATTTGCATTCTGATGTTTTCAGTTAGGTGGAAAAAGTAATAAAGTGCCAAGAAGAGGGACATTTAGGTTAAAAGCATATCTAAGTAGTTGAACTGTTGAAGAAACCTAAACCAAAGTTATTGTTTCTTATAATTGAAGACATGTAATGTAAAATAAATGTGCAACCAAAATATTTTGCAACTGTTAAAAAGTCAAATAATTGTTCCACCCTTTTATTCTGTTTTACAAAAAGCTGTTACTGGAATCTTGGTTTGCTCAATCAAAAATCACATTTAGTTTATATATTTAAGTGACTACAGAGCACAGATCTTAAAGAACCATAAATTAGACCTACAAGTAACATGTTTTTGTTTGACACAGCACATACGCATGCTATCATCATTCTGCTTGAATCTCAATCAACCTAAATTTATTAGCACATAGCTATAGTACTGGTTTAGGTTGGTTAATAATGTGGTGGCTGCTTAGGTTGCTTATATATAAATTTGAAGTTTATCTTTTAGTAAATAATTAGGACTTAATATGTGGTCCTGCTTTGTATTGAATAATCTTTTTCTCTATGATTTGCAGGATGTTCTACTTTTTCTTTGAATCTCGGAGCAGCAAAGATGACCCTGTTGTCATATGGTTGACAGGAGGACCAGGATGCAGCAGTGAAATAGCTTTGTTTTACGAGAATGGTCCTTTTCAACTTACCAAGAATTTGTCTCTTGTATGGAATGACTATGGCTGGGACAAGGTAGCTATCAGTTCCCCATGTATTTTTCTAACTTTAGTTCTCACTCATATGTTACCATCCTGCATTAAATCCTATCAAAGTTTCTCTGTTTTGCTATGCTCATTCCATGCAGAGTGTCTCCCAGAAAACAAAACAAAAAAAAACAAAAAATGATATTATGTATATCCCCCGTCCATACTCATACTATAGACTATGGCCAGCTCTATGAATCAAGTTGTTACACTAAATTTGTTTTCTTACTGTCATCAATACTGTGTTTTCCTGTTTTGTAGGCATCAAATATTCTATTTGTAGACCAACCTATTGGGACGGGTTTCAGCTATACTTCTGATGACAGTGACATTCGCCATGATGAAGAGGGTGTTAGCAATGATTTATTTGACTTCTTGCAGGTGATTTGATTTGATAAATGATTCAAATAAATAATTTCATACTAAAATTAAAATCAATCATTTATTAATTGAATTAACCACTTATATTAAGTGGTGAAACTTCATTCACCTTTGGTTTGCTATACTTCAATAAAAAAAATGCAAGATGGTATACATACCATCTAAGTTACAAAATGTATGTTAAACTCTGCCGTTGTGCATAGATAAGATTAACTAAATTTTGCAATATTGACAGGCATTTTTCAAGGAGCACCCTCAGTTCGCTAAGAATGACTTTTATATTACTGGAGAGTCATATGCTGGACACTACATTCCAGCTCTTGCGTCCAGGGTTCACCAAGGAAACAAAGCAAAGGAAGGAATCCATATAAATCTCAAGGTCTTACACTATCTCTAATTTATATTATAACTATGAAAGGTTAATTAATTGCTTTTCTTGATTGTATTTCCTTTGATCCCATATAATAAACAGGGTTTTGCTATTGGTAATGGATTGACCAATCCTGAAATTCAGTATCAGGCATACACAGACTATGCATTAGACAGGGGACTAATTAAAAAGGCTGATTATGACAGAATCAACAAGTTGCTCCCACCATGTGAGCAGGCCATAAAAACTTGCGGTATAACTTCCTGAGATCTTTTTCCTTTTCACTCATAAATTTCTTCTTAGAAAAGAAAAGCACATGGGAGACAATTTAACCAATTAGTTACACTAGTCACATGTTATTTTTGTTCACTGACACTCTTATTTGTATTTCATTTGTCAGGCACCAAAGGCGGAGAAACATGCATATCTTCGTTATATGTTTGCAATGACATATTCAATCAGATCATGTCCATCGCTGGCAACATTAATGTAAGATATCATAAAAGAACAGTACAATGACAAAGATTATAAGAAAATAATGCAGATTGAGTTCACTTATGCATTCTGTTATTCGAATTGCAGTACTATGACATTAGAAAGGAATGTGTGGGAGATCTGTGTTATGACTTCTCCAGCGTGGAGACATTCTTAAACAAGAAGACAGTGAGGGATGCTTTAGGTGTTGGGGACTTGGATTTCCTTTCATGCAGTACCACAGTGTATAATGCTATGATGCAGGACTGGATGAGAAATCTGGAAGAAGGTATTCCTGCTCTTCTTGAGGATGGAATCAAGGTGCTTGTGTATGCTGGAGAAGAAGATCTCATATGCAACTGGCTTGGTAAGCCTACAGCATACTAGATTAATTTGGAACCCAAATTGCTTGTGTCAAAAAAAAAAAAAAAATATATATATATATATACTGGTCAGTTAGCATTGTTAATGTGCTTCTCATTGGGCAGGGAATTCAAGGTGGGTTAATGCCATGAAGTGGTCAGGTCAAAAAGAATTCGGGGCATCTCTTACAGTCCCATTTTTGGTTGATGGTGCAGAAGCAGGAATGCTGAAAAGCCATGGACCTCTCGCTTTCCTCAAGGTTTGTGTTCAGGGGAGTATTCCTGAGTGTGAGACTGTTAATTTACTTTTGGTAACTTTATTTTTTGAAAAAACAGGTAAATGAAGCTGGTCACATGGTCCCTATGGATCAACCAAAAGCTGCACTTCAGATGCTAAGGAGCTGGATGCAAGGGAAACTGGCCATGACAAGGAGTGGAGATAATGTGTCTCCTAAATGATGCACTCAGAGCACAAAACCAAAACCAGCCTCCTGTTGCATAGATAGTGATGACATTTTCTTCTGTATATAGGGAGGGTGGGAAAAAAAAATTAAATCTGAAGCTATTCTCAAATTCTTGGTCTTTGTGCATATTTATCCCTGAAATTGTGTATTGAAGGACAAATCATCTATCCCTGTCACCAAATCGTGCACAACTTTGTATTTGATTTTATTCAAGGAAATTCGAATTCTTGGACAATTACAGTCAGCATGATGACATGATCCCAGTGAATGATGAGGGTTTTTTGTTTATTTGTTATCTTACATATCGGCAGGAAAACATGGCCTAAAAAGTCACAAAAAAGGAAAAAAGCTGTATAATGAGAAAAGGAAATTTCAATATGGAGACATTAAAAAATAGTAAACACAAATGAACTCTTCTAGTACTAACAGAAATGAAGATTAAACTTGTTCTCACGAATCAAGGCCTACACTGAGGTTATGGTTTGTTGTATAGAATAAAGTAACACACTGTTCTACCATCTTATAGCTTTGTTATACCACTGGAAAGTGGTTTTCATTCCAAAATTTTCACCTTCTCACTTTCCACCAAGCCTCTACTCAACCAAGCAGATTCCAACTATTCACCAAACTATAAAAACACACACGCATCTATATATGGAGTATGGAGATTTAAATGATAAAACAGAAACAATATACATTGTGACTATGAAGCATCTTGTGGTTTGTAGCATTCTCTCAAAACCTCAATTGCAGGCCGAAATCCAGAGCTCAAAGGAACAGCAGATGCAACTCTTACATTTTCTGCTTTACCATTCATTGGTTTGGATAAAGTCATTGTGAACATCTCTCCCTCCAGAATTTCATTCACAGTGACACCTGCAGCACAAAGGCAATCCACACCAAAAAAAAGTTAATTGTCACTTGCTCCTTGGTGATTTGATATGATACTAAACAAGGTTAAGGTGAATTCCCGAGAAAAAAATAGAATCTGTTATGGACCTGACAAAGGCCTACATTCTAAAAGGACCAAATAAGGCTAACAGCTAAGAGGGAATTAAGAAAACATTCCTTAATTATGTTTATCCTACTACGGCAGCAATGGATCAACAATTGGACCCTCAATGCTCCTGAGAGGCCCAAAAGTCCACTCCTGCCAGGTAACCCATCTATAAATAAGGGGTTAAACCAATAAGGTACATACTCTCTAAACCCTCTCTCTTAGCTTGTCACTGTGCACACACCCCACCCCACTCCTTGACTATGTCGTTATACTATAGTGCACAGTGATCCGTTTATCTTTAGGGTACCTCTCCTATAGGTACTAGAGGGAGGGCAAACAGATCCTATATTAAGGTACCAATCTCTGATTGGACATATCGATCTATCAGATCGTAACAGAATCTTTCATAACACAACATTGCATAACATAGCTTTCTGTTGTCTCTTATTTACAATTGCCATTCACCATCAAGCATATAAATAGAAAACACAAATTCAAATAAAAATAGTAGAAATTACCAGAAAAAGGGTGAAGCTTGGCAAAGTCAAAAAACTCATCAGCAGAGCAACCAAAGAGAACCCTTGCAACCCTATCGAAGCAGATGACTGTGAATACATCTGTGTCTGTTGCAATTGACATCTACAAAAAAAAAAAAAAAAAAAAACAAACAACGTTATTATTTACAAGGGAAAGAAAAAAAAAGCGGCGAAAACAAACGAGTGGTTGAAGAAACTGACCAGGATTCGAAATAGTCGTTTGGGGGTGTTGTTGGAGTGGCAGAAATTGCAGAGGAAAGAAGTGCCATTACCAGTGGCGTTGGAAATAGTCCTTTCACAAACAGCACAGACTCTGTAATACATGTTGCTGTGGTCTATGGCTAAGACCGTGCATGTTTGTCTCTGCGTTCTTGCTTTATCCCCTTGTTCTTCTTCCATGAGTATTTGCTATGTTCTTTGGGCAATCACAAGTTACCTACTTTCACCATCATCTCAAGTATTTGCTATGATGCTCTGTTTAATTGCTTTGGTTAATTGAACTTCTAAGTGCCCTTTCCATGTGCTTTTATTTTTAAAAAAATTGCTTTTTTAATAAAAGTATTTTTGAAAATTTTTAAATTTTTAGATAACAACTTTTTAAAAAACATAATTTAAAATAAAAGTTAAAATGCTGCGCTTTTTTTTTTTAGTCATTAGTTGGTTGCTTTTGAAAAAAAAAAACAGAAATTAAAAGATAATATAAATTTTTTATTTTGGAAATAAGATAATATAAATTTTTGAAATATAATTTTAACTTCATATTATCATACCTATTTTATCTCTTCTTATCCCGTGATCATGCTATTTTATCTCTTCTTTATTGTAATTTTATATATAAAAAGTGTTTTTTTATTTTAACATCCAAATAACTTTTTTATATAAAAGTGATTTTCAGATGATACATCCAAACGTAAAATAACTTTATCTTTTAGAAAAAGTTCTTTTTAAAATAAGAAAGGCATAAAAAGTCATTTTTTTAAATATTGTAGTATATTTATAGGGTTTAATAAGTATTTTTTTTATCCAAAACAATATATTTTGAGTTGGGAGAAAAAATATATAAAACTATAAAAATTAATATAATCCTTGAATAAATTGAAATTACAAAATTATATTTCTTTCAATTTCAAAATGATATTATTTTGAATAATTCAAGATAAATTTATTTCATGAGATAAAAAAAAAATATTAAACTCTATTATAGCTCCATGATAAATTAAAATTATAAAAATATCTTTCTTCCAACTTTACAATGACGTTGTTTTGTGATAGGAAAAATATTAAACCCTAAATAATAAAAGTATTATAGTATTATATTTATTTATTTTTGGTAAATTATTGTAGCATTATATTAATTATTTTTGTATTTAAAGAAGAATTGGAGGAAAAAAGTTATATATTTTTTAAACTAAATGCATTTTTATTTTAAATAATTAATTATATTTATAATCTTATTGTTTTTTAATTTAGAAATTAACACGTGAATAAAAAATCATTTGAGGAATTTTAAAGCTTTGGTTTTTATTCAATGACATCAAATTACCCAAATGGGGTAAAAGTTTACACTGTGGCACTTTGAGAATTGTTGTTTGTGGTGGTGCTGCGAAGAATTTGACTTCCATTGAAATAGGCTTCCGAATTTTCATCAGGTATTTCGCTAAAAATGGTAAATGGATCCATGTAGATTCCCAAGTATGATATCAATGGGTCTGCCCGTGACTTATCAACAACTAGCTTCAAATGCTGAGATTTTAGTTTCTGAAACAGCAACAATCTCTGATATCCAATTGTGGTTCCATTTGTAATTCTCTTCCATACACCATCTTCGCACAAAGCCTCAAGGTAAAACTCAATCACCCTTTGTCCCATGTGAATAGGCTCTTGTAATTGTAGAACATTAAAGGATACCACTTGTTGGAGATTTATGTACAATATCCACATAGATTGGTTCTCCTCAGGAGCCCAATAAGTGTATAAACCTTCTTCAAGAACATTGTAGGGACTAAAGTGAGGATCTTGGATTCCACCTCTTGTGCTGCTGGCATTAAGAAGAGCATTTATGGCCAAATTGTGGGAAAATATGGAGCTCCGAAGTTGGCTGAATTCTAGAAGCGCTTGGATATCCTCAGCTGAAATAAGACCTGAGGAGTTTGGGGGAACATTCAATAAAAGCTTGCAGTTTCGACCAACTGATTTATAGTATATGTCAAGTAGTTTCCTTGCAGACTTTGGAAATTCAGAAGCATGCCAAAACCAACCAGGTCTGATAGAGACATCACACAGAGCAGGTACCCAATCAGGACCAACTGGGTCTCCTTGTTTTTGGTATCTGTTAGATGCCCAAAACATTGATAAGTATCTATATTACTCTTAGTAGAAACACGAGGACCTCTGACTCTATGTAACGCAGAGACTAGTACATTTTTCACATACCATTTTGTGAGCATTTCTACTCATCTATATGACTGAAATTTACATGCTTCAACTTCATTTGAAATCAATGTCCTAATAGGCCAATGGATGAATAATAGAAAGACCCAATTTCCATGACTTTCTGAATTGTTCTATGAAAATGCTTGGCCTGACTCATAGGCCATGCAATTAGCATTAATTATATGATGTTGAGTGACAATAAAACAAATCTTTGAAAACCAGACATAATTTGGAACAACAATACAATAAACCACACTATGTTATGAGTGTTAGTATGAAAGAGAACTCACTGGGGATCATTGTCAACGCTACCAATTTCAATAACAGTCCTGTTGAAAGGAGACCAACAAGTGGAGCCACCAACACCATGTTCGTTACCAACCCACCTTATGTCAGGACCCGAATCAGAATAAATAGTGGCCCCTGGTTGAAGCTGGTGAATCAGAGAAAACCAACTTTCAAAGAGATATTTCATGTCCTTCTCCCCTTCTCCTTTTGCACCATCCAGAAAAACGTCCTTTATCTCTCCATACCTGGTTTAAATGCACTAATTATTAAAAAATAAGGCATGATTTAAGGAAAAAGGCTCCTCTAAAGTGAGCAAAGATGTATCCAACCTTAAGTCATGTAGTCGATTGAGATCAGGATCATGATTCACTTCACAGTTTAGATTAAATTATCAGTGGTTACATCAACTTTAGATACAAGCTTGTTCATGTAATGAGTCTCTTGCAAACACATGATAAGGTTACTAACTATAGACCCACACAATCAGTCTAATCCTTCCCTGGAACTTCAGAACTTGAACTTTCATAGCACCAGTTTTATGTGAGCTTACTTTATTTCCATTCAAGAGTTATACCAAGTAGCCTTAAGACAGTAATCACATGCTTGTAATATAAACACATAAATAAACACTAGTTGAAAGAACAACAACTAATCACGTTTGCATAACTAACTAACCTAACTACGGTAATAAGGTGGAAGCTGAGAATTCATCAAAGCAAATCAGATTCAGTGAGTAACTGCAAGAATAAGAGAAAACCCATTTCAAAATCTCTATTCTAAGGGCAACATTGAAAGATCAAACACAATTAAATTACCTTGTGAGTAGCTCAGTCATTTGGCCCAAGTAGAACTCGTTATACCGCAGAGTGTCACCGTACGAAGGTTCGTGCCGATCCCACGGCGAAAGGTAAATCCCGAGGCCAACGCCGGCGTCCTTGGCGGCGGCGGCGAGGTCGGAAACAACATCGGCTTTACCGTTCCTCCAGTTGCTGGAACGCACCGTATAATTGGTGTAATCAGAGGGCCACAAACAGAAACCATCGTGGTGTTTTGCAGTTAAGATTACTCGAGAAAAGCCAGATTTTTTTGCAACACTGATCCACTGAGAGGCATTGAAATTGGTGGGGTTGAAGGTGGTGGGGTCCAGGTCGCCGGAACCCCACTCTGCGTCGGTGAAGGTGTTCATTCCGAAATGGAAGAAGAGGGCCATGTTTCCCTGTTGCCATTGTAGCTGGAACGCATTGGGTAGGGGCAAAATGGGAAGTGGTGGTGGCTTGTGGTTAGATAGTGAACAAGATGCAGAGACAATGGAATAACAGAGACCCACCAAGAGTATTTGGATTGCTAAAATGGGTTGTGTACAAGTTGAGACTTTGGTCTCGGGATTAAGGGTTTTGCAGAAGAACCTTAATGTCTTGTTCATGTTTGACCTCTTTGAGTGTAACTCTTCGCAGTGCTAGTGTATTAACGTGGCATCGTCGACACTGGAATTAGCTCATTGGAAAAGTATTTCTTCCTTAATATGAGATAAAGTTATATTGGCTTTTGAGTTATAAGATTAAAAAATTATAATGACAAAGACTAATATAACCTAATAATATATTATAATTACAAAAATATCTTAATTTTCATCTCAAAACAACATCATTTTGAGATAACTATGTCTCTGATGACGGAGAAATCCATTACCCTTAGCTTATTCACTGATATATTTGCTGACACTATTTTGGTAAAACTTCAAAAAGAAAAAACCGTCAGTTTTCTAATATTGTAGAAAAGTTGTTAAGTTATGTTATAGGGCTTTTTGACCCTTATAACCCTTTATTATTAACTAATTACCGATTTGACCTTGATTATAAATTATTTCAAAAATTTAACTCCCTCAAAAAACATAACACCAATCTGCCCCTGTTTGACCGTTGACCACCAAGCCTACCCGGGTACACCCCTCTGTACCCGAGTAATTTTTGAAAATTTTTGTCTACCCGGGTAAGGAGGAGTGTACCCGGGTATTGTTCTTCGTACCTGAGAAATTGCTTGAATTATTTACCCGGGTAGGGAGGGGTGTACCCGGGTAAATCTTCGACCACCCATTTGGTACTTGCTATAACTGGGGCAACTTGTAGCTGATGGATATAAGAACAGATATGATTTATTTGATTTTACCACAAGTTAATTATATTTGCGGATGTGTAATTAATTGTTTCATGGTAAAAAAAATTTTCTCTCTTTTTTACAGCTAATGAGATAGATCAGTATTATCAAGTTAAGCATGCCTAACCAATTTGAAGAGCTTTTAGCTTTGAGAATGGATTTGGAATTTCCATACATCAACACTTTACTGCTCATCAAAGCGGTCCCTGTTCGTATCGATTATGATGGGGTCTACTTTTATAGTGTTAACTGAGAATTCCCTTTCTGAAATAATCGTTGAAAAATATTTGTGTGCTTTACAGACCCAAAAAAGTTGCAGAGGCGGAGCATGTGATAGTGGGTGCCTCCATATTCAAAGCTTGGAGAAGAAGAGTGCATGGAGATCCAAAGAGTAATCATACCCGGGTGGTCGAAGATTTACCCGGGTACACCCCTCTCTACCCGGGTAAATAATTTAAGCAATTTCTCAGGTGCGAAGAACAATACCCGGGTACACGCCTCCCTACCCGGGTAGACAAAATTTTTCAAAAAATACCCGAGTACAGAGGGGAGTACCCGGGTAGGCTTGGTGGTCAACGGTCAAACATGGGTAGATTGGTGTTATGTTTTTTGAGAGGGTTAAATTTTTGAAATAGTTTATAATCAAGGTCAAATCGGTAATTAATTAATAATAAAGGGTTATAAGAGTAAAAAAGCCTATGTTATAGAGATACAGATGGTGGAACCCACACTTTTAATGTTATTTTGTTTTAAAAAACACGCGTAATCTCTATCTCTATAACATAACCTAACAACTTTTCTACAACGTTATATTTCTTTTTTCCCTTTCACAATTATCATTTATTCCCACACAAAATTATTTAATCATTTATTTCTTTATTTAATTTTTTTTTTATCATTTATTTTCCTAATTTAAAGTTTCTTTATTACTTACCCCTTACTTAGTTGTAAATGATGAAAAAAATTTTAAATCAAGAGATAAATAATTTAAATTTTTGAGAATGGGATAAATAATTATGGAAAAAATTTCAGGAGAGTTTTTGAAATTTTTCCTTTTTTTTAGAAGCATGTGTATTTTAAAGTACACAAACTTACACCTATTTGTATGTATCTCTCTTTTAAAAGGATCTAAATTTGTGTCCTTTAAAAAATACACACTTTTCTCTCTCTTTTTCCCTAAAAAACAGTAAAAACTTTGAAAAATAAAATAAATTTGACCCTAAAATAGAAATAGTGGTTGAATTGCGAGGTTGTTTTTTGATTTTTTTATTTTTTTTTCACGAGAATGTCAAATTATAATGCCGGCGGTTGTGTGAAAATCAAGTAAAGTTGTTTATTGCGCCAACTAACCAAGGCCAGGTACTAGTTGGTCTTAAATAATAGCCCATAACAATTGGGTTTGTCTGAAGCATTTTAGACATAACAACAGTTCAACTGGGCCTCATTTGTCCAGATCTCAAGACTACCGTATGGGCCCACAAAGATACTGTCCACGATGGAATCCTCACTCGAAAAGTTGATTTGACAATGATTCGATTATTAGAGTATTATGATCTCTAATTAATCATATTCTACTTAAATTTGAGTGTTACGCTTAACTTTCTTAGAAAGCACTATCTCTAGTGGTTCTTAATGCTCACATTTAGCTCATGTTCCCAATAGATCTCTCACTAGATATCACTTTCATTTTAAGGAAAAGTTTAAATTGAATTTATGTTTTGTCTAATTAAAAAAAATGTCACATTATTATACTTAACGTCCAGTGAAAGAGTTTTAGTGGCTCCTTAAAAGAAACTTATACTTTACAAGTCATTGATAATGCAAAACTCTTTGTACATTCAATGAATCGAAATTAAATCTTAAAAATAAAAAAAAAAATCTTCATCTTAGTTGGATGATCATGAGCCAATAGCAGATGAACGGTGTCATGAGAACAAGAAGAGAGAGAGGAGACAAGAAACGATTTGATTACCACGAAATTGATGTCAAACTGTCAACAGAACCAAATTATTACATTGCTTTGACCACTGTTTGTGTTTGTTAGCGAAGTGTGAAGTGTCCGTTTTTAAATTAGGCCATGCATTACTCAAATTTAAACAACTGGGTATAGCTAGCTCGCTAGTTTCAAATTCAAAGTTGCAAACCAATCTTCACCAACCGTATCAAACAAATGGAAATTTGTAATCAACCAGTAAAATGGTTTCTTTGTTAAATCTATCACAAGTTATGTAGGCCAAACAACGGAGCTAGTAAAATAAATAAATATATATATATATATATATACAATGGGTTTTATAATTCTCATATTGAATGATAATTGAAATTTTATGTTACAGAGACAAAAAAATATGTGGAACCTATTGTTGGATATGGCTCATACTTCGCATGCTGATGAGGGCCTTAATTATCGGGGTCAGCAGAAAGGCAACTGGGGTTCCGCTCCCAGGTAAGCGGGTTAGAGTTTTCTAATCCTATTTATATTTTCTTTGTAAACCGAGTGACTTGTAACGAGTGGCGGTGAGGTGAACATAGTATAGACAAGTTGAACGTAGCCTAAATTGGGTGAACCAGGATAAATCCTTGTGTCTATTCTTTCTCTCTCTCTTTTTTTCTTTTCCGTTTTCGATTTGTGTGTTATCAATTTCCAACACCTATATATTAAAAAAAATTATATATAGGATCTATGTCAGCACAAAAATCAAATGATGTGTAAGAAAATTTCAATTCTCAATATTAAATGAGAATTATAAAATACATGCGAAGATAATGAAGTTTGAAAAATTATCCCTAGCAGTTTGCAATATGTTATTTGCATGAGGTGACTGATTGATTGGTCCTTTTCCCTTTCCCTAGCTCCTAGACCATGACCATGACCATGACCATGGCCACAGGGAATAGAGAGTTTCAAAGGACCACCACGCCTTCTCTACTTAATTTTTCTGCTCCAAGTCTCAAATCTTCTTCAGTCTTCACAACTCAACTAATGACCAACCAACCAACCAACCCCTCCCGATTATCTATATGCATGTCATATTCATATAGATATATCTGAATGCTAGTTATAAACAAATGAAATAAGAACTGAAGGAGGAGAAACAAAGTACTATAGCTTCACCTGAAAGGTGTACGTACGTAGATAGAAGAACTTATGGGACTTATTACAAGTTTGAGTATTTGACCGACACATGCATTCTTGTTTTTTAACATTGGTCATTGCCCTTTGCACATTACTCGTAAACTAGCCAAAAACCAAGTACTAAAAATCATACATATGTCATACAGTGGCAGCTACCCTACGGCTACGTACTATGACTATATATTGCTGCCAATTGTTACTGTTGAGAGCGTGCATGCACGTGCGGGGAAGTGTCATATCATGGGGACCACAGCCTCGGGAGTTAGGACAAAGGACACGTTTAGAGCGACCGGTAAAATTACGAACCTTGAAAGTTTGAATGGAAAATGAAAGCCCTATGATATAAGTTAATTAATTTATTTCTTATTAATTATTAATTATAACGTCACTGGCCAGCAGAGATATCTCTGTCTGTCAATCTCAGTTTTGTTTAATTTAGTAGGAGCATTTGCTTGACTTTTCCCTTTTATCCTTTTCTGCCATTCATATTTGGTATTTGCATGTTTCACTTTCATCTTTTTATACCATCAATTATTTTTTCCAAACTTCCATATGAATTATTTATAACATTCCTAAGTTTTTTTTTTTTTTTTTGGATTATAACATTCCTAAGTTATAATCGGCGATAATTTTCATTTTCGCCATTGTAGTTTTATAATTTATTATTTGATTTCCTCTTATTTTAAACTTGTTATGTACGTTCTAATTTATCATTAAATCCCTTATGATTTTAAACTTGTCAAATCGAATAGTCTTTTTTTATTTTCAATCTTTTTATTTTATATTTCATCTAACGCATTTAAGGCAAATAAATAAAAAATAATTTTAAAAAAATTCAATTATTTTTATTATGAAAATAAATTCAAATTAAATATTATTTTATTTTATCTATTTTTTACCCTATATAGTTATAAAATTATCTAAAGAAATTAAATATCTTATTTTGATAATATATATTTAATTTATCTTATTTTTATTAAAATAAATAAAAAATTATGATAATATATAAAATAATTTCAAAATAAATAACTTGAACAATTTTTAATTTAAAATGTAATTATTAATTTTATTTGATGATATCATAATTAAATAAAGTAAAATTTAGAAAAAGTAAATATTTTATATTTATAAGA